TTCCCTTAGGACCAGCCCGGGGTGGGCACAGGGGCATTAGCTCCCCTCCAAGCACAGGCAGCGGAGGCGGGACTCTCTGTGGGAGGTCGGTCCCATCAGCAGGGTGTCCGGCCTCTGCGCTGGTGATGGAGGCCCCCGGCGCAGCTGCCCTGATGGCTGACAGCCCGGAACTAAAGGAGAGCCGGACTGCAGCCAAGCCAAGCCAAAATGGAATATAACACAGAAAGCTGACTTTGTGAGAAGTTATGTTTGGCACGGTTTGGCCCCTACAGAAGTTGCGTCTGCCTCCTTGACCCCTTCTGGGCCCAGCCTCCCTTTGAGGGGCAGGAGGGAAAGTGTCCCCCAGAGATGTCCGTGTCCTGACCCCGCCCGTTTCCGGGTCTCTGTGCCCTGGCTGAGCAGCCCCCCGACCCCTGCAGTTTCCTCCCCTCCGTGTCCCTCACGGCTGACTGTGCACAGAGCAGCAAGGACCTGTCCTCCTTGGCCTAGTGACCACACCCCAAACCCTGGCACCTTACACAGCAGAAGGGACTTTGCAGATGTGACTTTGTTAAGGATCTGGAGTTGGGGAGAGCATCCCGGGTTGTCGGGGTGCCCGGTGTCCTTACAAGTGGGCACAGCAGAAGATCTAATAACAGCAGAAGTGGCCACAGAAGCAGACGCTGGTTGGGGCGACGCCGTCAGGAGGCAGGAAGGCCGCAGCCCCGGGCGGGGGATGGACGAGGGGTGGGCGTTCCCGGCAGACAGGCACTGGCCTTGCCCGCATCTCTCAGGGAAGATGCTCTCAGACCTCTGGCCTCCAGAAGTCAGGGAGTAAATGTGTTGTTTTAAACCAGCAAGTTTGGGGTGACTTGTTTCAGCGGCCACAGGAAACGAACCACCCCCCGACCCCGGCCACCACCCTTATGTCCTGGGCAGCTGGTCCACAACCTGATGAAATTCAAGTGCGGCCGCACCTTTCACGTCTGCCCTTTTCACCCCTCGGTGAAGAAGTACCTTGCAATTGGCCCCGCCGCTTTGTCAGCGTGGAGGGACCTCAGACCTCCTCTCACTGTAAAATCTGTTTAGAATTGAATATTCGAACTGAGGATTCAGTGCTTTTGTGCTAAGTCTATGTTTTGTGCTCAATGAGTAGACATAAATGTTATATATACATGCACATATGCACATACTTCCTTTTACATCAACTCTTTGGCATGTAAGTAGTAACCAGCACAGTGAGCCTATTTTGTGGGTGCAGTTTAATGAATTTGGAAGGTTCATATAGATGTGTGACCACGCCCCAGTGAAAGCGGAGAGTGTTTCCATCTCGCCGACACGTTTCCTTATGTTTTTCGTAGTCGATCCTTCTGCAACCCTGACCTCAGCGACCACTAATCTGCCTTCTGTCAGCGTTGTGACATCTTGGTGTATTGGATATTTAATATGTTTGTAATCTTTAAGAGAATTTGGCCTATTCGAGAGTCTGACAAAATAGTTGTATAATTTCTATAAAATGTATAATGAAATTTAGATTTGTAATTTCAAGTGAAAAAACTTAAGAGCATTTGACTAAGTCTGTAAAAGACGCTGGAACGTACGCAAGAATTTGAAAGTTCCTGTACTTACAATTTTGATTTATTAGATTTTTAAAGAGTGGTTTGAGGTTGTTGTAAGCCTTTTGAGTTAGAGACATAGGTTGCATGGGCTATTCAGACATTTGAAGTATTTAAGAAGAAAAATGAGTATATTAAATATATAAATGCAGTTTAAAATGTTGAGAAGAATTTAAATTTTTCTGATTTTTTAAGAGTTCAGTTGGTTCAGCTAATTGAAGGTGATTCTTACTTTATATAAAGTTCACTGGGTTTACACATAGTATAACAATGCTTATAATAAGATTTGTACGATGAACATAAAAGCTAAAGAAAAAAGGTTTTGAATTTGAACTTTAATAATGAAACATTAATTTGAAATTTAAGTAGCTGTAAAGTTCTTTCTGTACATTGAAGTCTCTCTTGCTCATTGAACAAAGCCGAAAAGACCCCAAACACACAGAGACACAGTCTCAGGTCTTCAGTTCCGTGTCAGGCACTGTCCACACTGACTGAGCAGGCCTTGGGTCTCCTCCCAGCCCGGGGCCTCCAGACTTCAGAGCGGGGATTGGGACGGGGTTGCGGGGGAGGGGCTGCCTCATGATACACCATCGGCTGGGCACCCGGGCAGCTCTGAAAGCTCGCCAGAGGGGACTCTGGGAGAAACCTTCAGACTGATGCTTACTGTTGGATCTTTCTTAAGAGTCCTTCCTCTCCAGACCGCACTGCTTTCCCTCTGAACGCCCTGTTCTCGGTATGGGCTCCATGCGCTAACACCCCCACGCCCCCAGGTCCCCCGGGAGTGGTGAGGTCTGTTCTCGCGCTGGCATCTTGGAGCAGGAGACGGAGCCCATGTGGAGCGGCCGCCGGCTGCCAGCACCCCCAGCCCACAGCCTCCCTCTGCAGCCGCCGGCCTGAAGGTGCTGGTTTGTTTCTGCTGCGTGTTTTGCCTGCTCGGGCCCTAAGCAGCTTAGGACAAACCTGAAAGAACAGTGAGGGGATCGTGGTCCCCACACACTCACGACAAGCCCTGAAAAGCAGAGGCGCGCTTTCTGAAGGCTGTCGAGGGCCTTGGGGTGAAAGTTCTTAGCTGGGATGTCTGCTCCACCGTGGTGACCCTGTGGCGTGTGTTCGCGTGACCAGCACCCACCCGTCCACCCCAGACGCTGAGGCCCGGGAGGTGAGACCCTGGGTTCGGGCACCTGTGGCCCCGTGGGCTGGGCCCGCATCGCCCCGCGGCCTGCCTCCTGCTGCCTCACTGACAGGAAGCATTGCTTCCTCTGAGCTCCTGCTGGAGAATCACCGACTTTCAGGGTTATTTTGCTGTCATTTATTCTGCTCTAACCTTTCAGAGGCAATCAGAAGGAAGGGCGCCGCCTGTATCCACGGGAGCCTCAGGTCCCATGTTGGGGAACTCCCACCCAGCGGACACCCTTGGAGGCCACCTGTCATCCCCGGGGCAGGCAGGAGGGTGCCCCCAGCCCACCCCACCCCTGTTGTGCACGACGGGGCCTGCCGTCCGTGGGGCGCAGGGACCGTGCTGTCAGTCTCTGGAAGGTCTCTCACTCGTTAGCGCCGCGCGTTGGGGGAACAGGCAGCCCTTTCCCGGAGGGGAGCCCGTGGCTGAGTCATCCGACCCTCAGAACCCAGGAGAGGTTCTGGCAGGGGTGGGGAGTTAGGCCCAGTGGCCCCATGTGTGTGGCTCCCGTGTTGGGAGAGGTGGCTACACATTTGTCCACTCAGTAGTCACATGTTTGATAACTTATTCAATGAAACTACAAGCCACTTAAAAACTATTAACCATTTTGTTTTTCCTTAAAAATGTAATGAAAACTCACACAGTGGCTCTGAGAAGACCCGCAGGGAAGCCCTAGTTTCCTGGGGCAGGTTCAGAGCGTGCCGAGCCAACTGCTTTGGGGGCCAGCCTGGGCTGGACGGCTGTTGACCGAGCGAGGCGCAGACAGAGATGCCGGCCCTGGCGTGGCCCCCGCTCCCCCCCGCCCCCCACAAGGCCCCCTCACTCCCCTGGGAATGCTTTCAGAGTGAGTGACAACCACAGGAAACGGCGGGCAGCCGTGACACGAGAAGGAAACAGAGAGCAGGCTCTGGGGAAGGAGGGGCGTCCTGCTGGCCCCCACATGTGGTCAGGACATCGAGCCGCGGGCCCTGGTGTGTGTCTGCTTATGCACCTAATTCAGGTCAGTGGACAGCTTTTTTGGGGGGAATTTTGTGTAGTTATATATTCAATAGTAGTAAGAGGCACAACGTTAGGATTTACCATCATAACCATTTTCAAGTGTACATCTCAGTGGCATCAAGTAATTCACAGTGTCGAGTAACTGTCACCAGCATCCACTCCAGAACTTTCTTATCTTGCAAAACTGAAACTTCTCCTGGTTAACACCTCTCACCCCGCCCCCAGCCCTCCGCTTTCTTTTTCTGTGACCTTGGCGGCTCTGGGACCTCCCACCAGCTGAATCACCCAGTATTTGTCCTTCTGTGACAGACGTGTGTCACTGAGCCCAGGGTCCTCAGGGGTCGTCCGTGTAGCCCGTGTCAGGACTCCCTTCCCTTCCTTTTTAGGGCTGAATAATAGTCCGGGGGTATGTGTAAACCCTTGTTTTACAGTAAAGGTAAAAGGTGGGAACGTGTGAGCGCAAGACAACCTGGCCACCTGTGGCGACACTCATTTACTCACCCAGAGGCTGTCCTCAGCGAACTCCTTCTCTCCTCGTTCACTCCCACAATGTTATGTCCGTTTTTCAGATGAGAAAACCCATCCAGAAAGTCAGAGAGGTTAGGCCACTTTCCCGGGGCCCCTGGGCTGGAAAGGAGCAGGGCGGAACGTGGACCCTCGTTGACCCTGAGCCCGGGCCTGGACTGGGCCCGCCCCTCGGGACTGTCACGGGTGGGGAGAGGGTCCTCCCGCCCTACAGGCCCATGGGAGTGGTCGGGCATCACCGAGCTGCAGAGGCAGTGCGCTGACCACAGCCTCCCTACCCGTGACTTCCTGGGCCCAGAAGCTGACCACCCAGTCCTGGCTGAGCTGGCCCCGGCGCCACGGCCCCGGGCCAGCTGCACAGTGAGTCTGCCAGCAGGAGCCAGTCTTTTCATCAGACTGTAAGCGGTCGCTCTGCATGGTATGAAACAGTCCACTGTGGGGTGTGGCCCCAAATAAATCACCAGGGGGTTAGAGTAACTCATAAAAAGCAGTGACTCAAGTGCGACGGTGTGCTGATATGCGGGAGGGGGCTGACGAGACGCAGTGGAGGGTGCAGTGAAGTGGGAGGGGCCGGGCTGGCATCCCACTGTCCCTCGGTGACCAGGACGCCACAGCCGTGTGTGCAGAGCAGAAAACTGAGCCGCCTTCCAGCTGCACCCTCGTCCCTAAACAGCCTCCTGGTCAGTGCAGCAGGCGTGTGGGTGCTGAGCAGGGAGGAAGGAACCCCAGACACCGTCTGTCCCGCTTTAGAAAGCAAATAGGCTGCCCGCAAAGGATGGTTAGGAAACTTGAGGAGTTTTATTTTGTTCTGTTAAAAAAAAGGTAGGTCGTTGATTCATCTGTATAAATAATTTTTCTGGCAACAGTAGTTGACTTTTAACCTCCCATTCAAAAACTTCACAACTTCAAGCATTTGAAATGCACTTAAGAATTTTCCCCTGCTTTTATTTTATGTAGAACAGTCTCAGAGTAATTAGCCGACTCATAAAGTCAGAGAATTTCTTTCAAATAAAAGTTCAAATCTTTGCTAGTATGTCATGGGACAAATCTGCATTCTCTTGGTCAGTATACATTTTAATAATACTATTTTCTTTCTTTTTCTCCTGAAAGATATAAAGCGGGGGAAAATAGTCATGCCTGTACAATCCAGATCAAAGCACAAAGCAGCGTTTTAGAAATAAACACCTCAGGCACAGCTGCCGCACTGGACAGGCTTCCTCGCCGTGTAAGCTCGTCTCCATGTCCGCCTCCTGCCCGGCCTCCCGGCAGCAGCGCCTGTGGCTCGGCTGCCCGCTGCGGGTCTGCCTCGGGAGGTGGGCTGTTTCCTGTCACTCGACATGACGTCCTGGGCTTCACATGCAATTCCAGAAACTCGGTGACACGCTATGGACTTGCTCTAAATCTTTTTTTAGTGCAGGTTGGCAAATAGCCCAAATGAAATTCAACTCTAAGTTAAAGTATCAAACAGAGATAAGGCTAAGAGCATCTAGACTTCCTGGGCTGCCCGAGGCTCTGAGGAGCGCAGGGAGAGGAACCTGGTTGCCCCGAAAGGCCCCTGCTCCCCCCTGCAGAACAGTGACCATCCAGACCACAGCACCTGCAGAGGCTGAGGCTTCCGGGCCCTTGGGCTGCTGGGAGAATCTCTGAAGGCCCGCCCTCCCCTCGGATGCGCTCCCCACTGCCTCACAGCCTTAAGAACAGCAAGCACTGACACGCAGACCCGCCTCCCTCTCCAGCACCCTCTCCCAAGTCAGGCTCTCTACCCACTGGTCTGAACTGCCCCTGGGTTTGGCTGCTAGAAGGAAGGTGATTGAGCTGTCAGAAGAGGCCACCACTAGATGGCCAAGTCACTCGGCCTGGCCCGACCGCCGCTGGACTTGCTGGCCTTGCTCGACCGCCCGGGGTCCGCGGGGAGCAGAGGGGGTGCATGCAGCTCCACAGCGGTCACCACCGGCCCCCCCCTGGCCGTTGCCCGAGCTCTCTGGGACCGCAGGCTCTGTGCCTCCTGCTCCGTCCTCCTCGGGGGGCTGCTGGGGACTTCCCGGAGGGGTCAGGGATGCAGGCGTGGACACCGGCGGGGAGGTCTTCCCGGCAGCCGCCTGCTGCTCAGCCTCCTGGTTGGCCCAGTTCTGCTCGGCTGCTAGCAGGTGATGGTTGCCGTTGTGGAAGCTGGTGGGGTGGCCCTTGCTGGGACTCCCAGGCAGGGCTGCCATCCTGAAGTCTGCTGCCGGTGGGGGGGCCTCGGGGTAGCCAGGGGCTGTGGCCTGCCCCAGGGAAGAGGAAGAGTGAGCGTAGTAGGGTGGGAACCCGATGGTGAGGGTGGGTGGGGCAGAGAGGGCAGGCAGAGGGAGGGAGCTCACGCCCCTGGGTTTTGAGGTGCTCCCCCTGGACCCTGGCGTGTCTGGCCTGTAGGGGTTGGTCATGCCCTGTTTCAGCTTCTTCCAGCCCAGGTGGTAGATCTCCAGCATGTTGAGCAGGAGGGACACGCAGGCCACAGCCAGCATGAAGATGATGAAGATGGTCTTCTCTGTGGGCCGGGAGATGAAGCAGTCCACCGTGTTGGGGCAGGGCCACCGGTCACAGCGATAAAGCGGCTTCAGCTCAAAGCCGTACAGAAAGTACTGTCCGGCGATGAAGCCCACCTCAAACAGCGTCTTGAAGATGATGTTGAAGACGTAGGTGCGGAGCAGGGCCCCGGCGATGCGGACCTTGCCCCGGTCGTCCCGCACAGGGGGCCGGTCCTTCTGGCCCCGCGCGGTCGACCCCGGAGGTGGGCTGTCCTTCAGCGGCTCCTCCTCCCTCTCCTTCCTCTTCTCCTCCATGCGCACAATGTGCAGCACGTGGCCCAGGTAGATGAGCGTGGGCGTGGACACGAAGATGATCTGCAGCACCCAGAAGCGGATGTGGGAAATGGGGAAGGCCCGGTCGTAGCAGACGTTCTCGCAGCCAGGCTGCTGTGTGTTGCAGGTGAAGTCGGACTGCTCGTCCCCCCACACCTCCTCGGCCGCGGCCCCCAGCACCAGGATCCTGAAGATGAACAGCACCGTCAGCCAGACCTTGCCGATGACGGTGGAGTGTTCTTGGGCGTTCTCTAATAGTTTTCCCAGGAAGCTCCAGTCACCCATTGCTCCAGACTGCTAACCTGCAAGGGAACACGTGCGTTAATAGGCAGGCTCGCCAGGTGGGCTGCAGGGTGCAACCCCGGGGCAGGGCCAGGTCCCTGATGGGCTCAGGATACACTTTTGAGGGCAGCTGTGCTCAGGAATGTGTGCATGCATGGGCAGGTGTACAGGGACAGGTGTGAACGTAGGTGTACATGTACAGGTTGTGTGTGTGAGTTTATGTGTGCACGTACAGGTGTGTGCACGCATGTGCAGGTACGGACATACAGGTGGGAGCGAGGACCTCCCCACTGGCAGCGGGAGCAGGTTCAGTGAACGTCGACGGCAAGGTGCGCTGCTGAGCTGCGGTTCTGCTGTACAAGCGCGCGCCTGAGGGAGACGACCACTTAAACTCCCAGCCAAGACGAGGAAACGAGGACGCCTGCCTGCGGGAACGCGTCCTGCGCGGGCCCCGGGGCGCTCGGGGCCCTGGGTCTGTGCGCGGCCCGGCCCATCCCTGATCTCGCCTTCCTGTTCACGCGAGACCGGAGCCGCGCTCCCCGCACGGCCCCGGTTCCCGCGCGCCCCCCGTCACTGCGCCTCGCGCGCCTGCTCTGCGGTCCCCGCCCTGCGCGCCTGGCCTGCGCGAC